TGAATGGGGACAAGGGAATAAACCGCCGAAAATTTCTTTGCTGATAGGAGTGAATTTTTATTGGAAAATAGTTACGGGTAAGGTTCACAGACTATCTAATTCCTTAGTAGCATTTGAAACAAAATTGGGTTGGACCATTAGTGGAACAGAAAGGGCTTACGGAATTTCACAAACTAATGTGAATACGATGAAGGTTGTCATTCATAATAATAAAGATACACAGAACGAATCACTGTCTAGTTTGCTGAAGAATCTCTGGGAGCTCGATTCTATGGGGATAAATTATGATTCGGATAAGGAACTCGAATTAGAAGATAATTTAGTTTTCGATAATTTCAAAAGATCTGTGAAATTTGAAAACAATCGTTATATTGTCCGCCTTCCCTGGAATCATAAATTCAAATGAGCTTGGAGATAATCTGGAGATTGCTAAAATTAGATTTAAGAGTTTAAGTCGTAGATTTCAGAATAATCAACAGTTCTATGACAGATATCGCGAAGTAATTGATAAGTACTTAAAAGAAGAAATCGCCGAAGAGACTAACATTGAAATTGGACCAAAACGTATTTTATGCCACATCAAGCCGGTATAAGAGAAAACAAGGAAACTACAAAACTCTGTCTGGTTTTTGACGCTTCGTCACATGCGGAGAATTGTTTGTCATTAAATGACTGTTTACATTCAGGTCCCAAGATGTGTCCAGACATACTGGAATTGCTCCTTAAGTTCCGTCAAAATCGAATTGCGTTTACAGCTGACATCGAACAAGCATTTTTGCAGATTTCTCTTGCTGATGAAGACAGAAACGCAGTCAAGTTTCTATGGAACGATGGTGAATTAAATGGAACCAAAATAAAGGCTCTTCGTATGACAAGGGTAATTTTTGGAGCAACATCTAGTCCGTTTCTTCTCAGAGCAACTCTTAATGTACACGCTGACAAATACAAGTTACAGTATCCGAACGTATTTTCCATGCTAACTGAAAATATGTATGTTGACGACTTAATCGCTGGAGCAGATGAAGAATCAGAAGCATTCGAGGAATCGGAACATATTAAACGCATACTGAAAGAAGGTGGATTTAACATGCGGAAGTGGAAAACGAATGAAACGAATTTACAAAGGGTATGGAATGAAGAAGATTTTTCACACGATTCGACTTGTTCTAAAGTATTGGGATACATATGGAATAGGTCAAATGATACATTTTTGATAGAAATTGAAGATTTGGTAAAAGATGCCAAAAGGATAGATAACATACCAACTAAAAGGGAAATCTTGAGATTTGTAGGACGTTTCTTTGATCCACTGGGGTTTTAAAATCCATACACCATTCGAGCTAGGATTTTATTGCAAGATTTATGGGAACAAAAGATAGCATGGGACACTGAAATACCAGAAAATCTCAGAAAGAATTGGCAAAGCTGGTGTGATGAATTAGCTCATATTTCTAGTTTGGAAATACCAAGACATCAGTTTGCAGGTGCTGGGAAAAGGGATATAAAGGATGGTTTACAGTTACACTGTTTCACAGATGCGAGTCAGAAGGCCTATGGGGCTGTTCTGTATTTCCATTATTCGAAAAATGGAGTCATTCATACAAGTTTCATTACATCAAAATCACGAGTAGCACCTTTGAAAAAAATTGTCGCTTCCCAGATTGGAATTGATGGGTGCTTTGATAAGCTTGCGCTTGTCAACATATATCCAAAAGAAACTTCGGGACATTGATTTAATTGTATATATGTGGACTGATTCTAGTATAACGTTACACTGGATTCGAAGTGATGTGAAAAGGTGGAAGCCATTCGTTCAGAACAGAGTGAAGGAAATACAGAAGAATTCAGATGTCTTGAAGTGGAGATATACTCCTGGTGAACATAATCCAGCTGATTTGCTAACTAGAGGTGAAAATGTCAAACATCTGAAGCAGAATAGCATATGGTGGGAAGGGCCCACGTGGTTAAAGGAAGAAATGGAACACTGGCCAAAATCGAATTTATGTTCCACAAAGAATATTGACGATTCCAACAAGGAACTAAGAAAAACATCGAAGGAAGTTTTCGTAAATGCATGTGTTACCGAACCTTCTGAAGATTTATTTAAAACCCAAAATTACAGCAACTTACACCAAATTTACTGAATTACTGCATGGTGCTTAAGATTCATCAGCAATGTTAAAAATACCTCGAAATTATCAGGATGTTTGCAGGTTACCGAATTGGAAATGGCAGAAACTTATTGGATCAAACGTATTCAGCGAAATTTCATAAATGAAATATGGGCATTGAAGAAAAACGAGGAAATAGGTTCAAAATCAAAACTGAAGTCCCTCAGTCCATTTGTAGACGAAAGTAGTGTACTTCGTGTTGGTGGACGATTAGAAAAATTCAAATTTGGATTACAAACAAGCACATCCAATCGTGTTGCCCGACAAAGATCATTTGACTGATCTAATTATTCTTCACAGTTATCAGGTGGTAGGGCACGGAGGAATAGCAGATACTTTAAATCAGATACGAGATAAATTTTGGTTGCTGAAGGCTCATTGAAAAATTAAAAGTGTTCTGTACAATTGCAATGTCTGCAAAATATTTCGAACTAAACCTGTCATGCAAGATATGGCACCTCTCCCACCAGACAGATGCTGAGAAGCCTTTCCGTTTGGAAACTCCGGGATAGATTACGCGGGTTCACTGTGCGTCAAAAGTTGAAGAGAATTATCTAAGACATACGTTTTACTTTTTACCTGCGCTGTAACTAGAGCCGTGCATTTAGAACTTACGGCTGATCTTTCCACAGAAAAATTTTTGCTTGCATTTAGACGGTTCATAGCAAGAAGAGGTTTGTGCCGAATAGTGTATACCGATAACACCAAAACCTTTAAAAGAGCGAAAAAAGAATTAGAGCTATTGAACGAGGTGATGAAAAGCAATAAAGTTCAAGACGAGTTCTCTAAGCAAGGAATCAAATGGAAATTTATAGTTGAGAGGGCGGCATGGTGGGGAGGCTTTTGGGAGCGTATGGTTCAGTCTCTTAAAGCTCTTCTGCAGAGAATCTTAGGAAAATCATCCTTAACATTCAGGGAATTAGAGACAGTCATAACAGAAGTGGAAGCTATATTGAACTCCAGACCTTTAACATTTACATACTCGGATCTAGGAGAGCCAGAATCTTTGACCCCTGGTCACTTCTTAATAGGAAGACGATTACTATCATTGCCACAAGGAAGCTCTAAATTAACTTCAACAAAGGAGAGTCTTACACGTCGATTTAGACATCAACAGATACTGGTAGAAAGAATCTGGCGAAAATGGAGGCAGGATTATTTGATGAATTTAAAATCTGCTCATCATTCCAAACTGGCGAAAACAGGAACCTGTTTGAAGAAAGGAACTATTGTATTAGTGCATGAAGATAAAATTCCACGGCTGATGTGGAAGATGGGCATCATAATGGAAGTCTTTCCTGGGAGAGATGGCAAGGTGAGAGCCTGTGCTGTCCGCTTGCCCAATGGACATACGATTAAAAGACCAGTGCAATTACTATATCCGGTGGAGCTGGAATGTAATAAGGACAATTACAGCAATTGTCCTTCCGGGCGGGAGGATGTTGCAACTCAACTCTTGCTGAGATCCGATGGCTGAGTGACGTCATCTCGAACTATGAACTCTCGCTTAGAGATCACGAGAACTTGGAACTGAGAAGTCGCACGCTGCGACGTGCGAACATTTAAACCTTTTCATTATGTAAATATCCTGTAACCGTTGGCGTCTTCATTAAATATGTTTGTGTTAAGAAAGTTTATCATTTATGGATTATCTCCTTCAAGATTTTGCAGGTATTCACAGAGACAACAACCAGTGGCCCTGGCCGAACCCATTGGAACAAGGTAAGCAGTTTTACCTTGATATAAAATGATAATAGATCCTTTTGATCCAAGTATTTTTCGTAAAGTCTAACCTGATAAATCACTGTGCATCTAATAGGCCATGAAACAGAACAATTTACTTTAAGACACATATTAACTGCTTGCCTGATTATCCCGAGTTATCTGGGGTTCGTATATATTGCAGTTAATTATTATCCCGAGAAAACTCGGGTGAAGCAGAATTTGTCAGTACGATTTGTTTTGTCGCAATTTTACTTGGCCTCGAGGAAATGAAAAGAAATATTCAGGTTTGATTGGCAGTTTGCCAAGTTTTGTTGGTTTCATAGTTCTTTTGGTGGGGTTAGTCACGTGTTTTCCCTATTGTATTGTGGGTTAGTAATGTATAAAGAAGGATAGTCACATTGAAAAAAAAAGTAAAATACTGGTGATGATACACGATAGCGAAAGCGATGGTTTTTCAGATAGTAATTATGAAGAGGTGACCATTTTCCAGATGTTAATTCTGCTACTGAAACAAAAATCAAATTCAGCAAGACAGTGTACTCTGAGCTCCTGTAAAATTGATTCTATAGGTAAGCCAGTAAGAAACGAGACCAGATACCAGTGTATACAACGTCAGGTACCACTTTGTGTTGTCCCTGGTTTCAAAAACTATCATACAAAGACTAATATTTAACTTTTTTCCATTTGCCCGAGATAACTCCGGATAGTAAACTAATATTAAAACTAAATGCTTTTACACCTGTAAAAAAATTAAAAATTCAACTTAAAACCTATATATTTTGTTTTGTTTCGTTTCCTTGTATTTAATAATAAAATTAAAAAAATGTGATGATTTTTTGCAATTTTTTCCAAAAAAAAAAAAAAAAAATTGTGGGGAAAGCGTTTAATGTCTTTTCCTGAGACTGAAAAGGCTTTGGCCTACTTGAATACATTAAATAAATTAAACAAACAAACAAAAAAGGTACTTATCAGATAAAGGAAACAATAAAGTTTTAACAAAGAAATTCAGATTTACAAAGTATTTTTCAATCATTAGAAAAAAAGAAAGTATAATAAATTGTGAAATAGGTATGAAATTAAAACAAACAAAGCTACAAAGCTTACATCATCGCCCCAAGATGATATCAGATTTTCTTTAATAGCTTGGGCAGGTGATGTTCCTTTCTTTACAGCTTCCAAGAAATCATATGAGACAACATGTATATTCGCTGTGCGAGCTTTTGCTATCATGTTACTACCTTTAGCAACTTCCTCTAATATTATAAAGAAAAAAATTTTCATGTTAGAAAATCATACAAAGAAATTTCATTACAAAAAAGGAATTAAAACAAATTGCTATATTTTAATATAGACATGTATTATTACTGATTTATATATAATAACACTATTTGACAAATAAAGGATTTTGCACTTTTCAAACAGGTTTAAAGGTTTATGTTAAAAGGTTTAGTTTAAAAGTTTATGTTAACAACAACAATAATAATAATAATAATAATAATAACAAGGTAATTAACATACTTTATTAAAATAAATTGGTTATTTATTAAAATTTCACTATAAATTACATTAAACGTCACTATAACACTACAGTAGAAAAACATAGCACCCGAATTCCCAAATTAAAAAAATTAATAAATAAGTAATCTGGAACATAGAGGCTACCTTAAAGATGATGTATTTTTCCTGAACTCATCCTCATCACTTCATAAAATTTGGATATATTTACAATAAAGAATAAAAAATCTCTATCTTGCAAGAAAGACAGTATACATTATTTTGATCAGAGAACACTTTACATGTCAATAATCTGTCAAAATTTGGCATATGACATAACATGATACCAGTCAGGTTTTGTATTTACATAGATACATAAGATAAAAACAAAGTTTTTATCTTAAAAATTAATTTATGTTATATATATATATGATATTATTTATTTTATATATATAGATATTTTAACAAATTTATGTTATATATGACATTATTTAGTAAGCATAATGATTCTAAATTTTCATGCTTACCTGTAGTGCTTATACAAAGTGAAACAGAATTATCAAAGTTTTCACAAATAATTCCACCTAATTCTTTCACTTGTTTTGAGATAAATTCTTTGGGAACCCGAAACTGGCCCCGTACAGCTATCCTGAATTTTTCTAGTGGCAGACCTCTTTAAAAAAACAAATAAATAACATGCACCCTTCTTGATCTTAAAAATATCTTGTAAATGTTAATATACTACATATAACAAAAAGTTAAACATTGGATTACAGAAATAAAAATCATTTGATATTCTTAACCCCTGAGTTCAAAATGAATTTTATTTCTAAAATAATTCAAATATAGCATAAATAAATATTCCATAATTACACTTAAAATAAATAAATAATAACAAACTTCAGTTTAGTGAAAATATATAAATATAAATAATATTAACCTATTAAATAAATAGAATAATATAATAATAAAATTATAATTGTAATAAAACTTCAGAATTTAAATAGTTTAGTGAAAAATATGCATGACCCTTCCTATTATACGAGGCGTATTCGGAAACTAAGTACCGTTTTGGAAAAAAAAAATAGTAAAACAATTTTTTCGAATCCAGTTTTATTTTTACATGAAAATATATGTCTTAAACTATTTTTCAACATAGTTTCCGCCAATGATCAAACACTTGTCATAGCGGGTGACCAGTTTTTGTATACCATGGTCAATGAAACTTCGCGCCAGTTTCGATAACCACGACTCCACAGCAATTTTCGTGTTATCGTCAGATCCAAAGCGCTTGCCACCAAGCTCGCGCTTCATGTGCAGGAAGAAGTGATAGTCGGACGGCGCCAAGTCTGGGCTGTACGGCAGGTGATCGAACTGCTCCCAATGAAACTGTCGAATTAACGATTGAGTGACACCAGCAGTATGAGGACGAGCATTGTCATGGAGCAACACAATTCCTTTACTGAGGATTCCTCTTCGTTTGTTTTGAATGGCACACCTTAGTTTTGTTAAAGTCTCACAATATCGTGCCGCATTAATGGTTTCACCTCTGGGAAGAAATTCAGTAAGCAAAATGCCTTTCCTATTCCAGAAGACAGTGCTCATGATTTTTTTGTGATGACATTATCACTTTGAACTTTTGTTTTTTCGGAGAATGAGTGTGTCTCCACTCCATCGATTGTTGTTTCGATTCTGGTATGAAATGACACACCCAAGTTTCATCACCTGTCACAATTTAGTTTAAAAAGTTTTCTCCCTCATCATTGTACCGCGTGAGAAATGTCAGGCACTACCAAGTCGGTTTGTTTTGTGAACATCAGTGAGCATTTCTGGAAACAATCGGAAACACAGTTGCGATAATTCAAGCAGTCAGACACAATTTTGAACAAAACAGTATGTGAAATTTGTGGAAATGCCTCTGAAAGAGTTGCCATTGTGAAGCGTCTGTTCTCATGAATTGCTTCATCAACTTTCTTTACCAAATCATCGGTGACAACAGAAGGCCGACCACTCCGAGTCTCGGCGTGGACATTTGTTCGACCTGCATTAAATATTCCTTACCCACTTTCTCACCATCCCATCACTAATCGCGTATTCACCGTAAACTTCTGTCACTTGACGATAAATTTTGGCCGGTTTAACATTCCTCGCGTTCAAAAATTTAATCACGGCATGAATCTCACAGTCAGCGGGAGAACTAATTGTCTTAAACATTTTGAATGTGCACAGCAAACTGAAAACACAACATAGAGCAACCAAAATGGCGACAATTGAAAGTCAGTGAACAAGAAAGATTAGTGCGCATGCGCTGGACACCTACCACAGCGCTGCGACGGCGCTAGAATGAAACGGTACTTAGTTTCCGAATACGCTACGTATATATGGGTCTTGTACTAATAAATTATGCAGCATTTGATTAGAAGTCTAAAAATCAATACCAATGATGTAGATTAAACAATTTCAATAATTCTGACCATAAAAAGTGACAGAGTGAACATTACATCATCATACATCATCAGATTTACTCCCATTGATGATTGAAAATAGTAAAAAAATTGTGAAAACTTTTTTAAATTATGAAAAAATGCAATTCAAATGAGGATTACTTAAAAAAAAATTAATTTACTTGCAATTTACAGACAGTTAAATTTAATCTTTCAGTCAACACACTTTACTGCAGCTTTTCTAAAAGATGAAGGGAGAAAAATTTCTCGGGTAGCTTTGACAAAAGAAGGGCCTGAATATGAGAAATCTTTAACAGCGTTAATAAACTAACTATTCATAATATGTAAAGTTCTAATAGATTTAAATTAATTTTTTTTGTATTTATAGAAAATGTATCTTCACATTTACCAAATTAATTCATACCAATGAAATTCAGTAATGTTTTTCAAACAGTGTACAATTACATGAACTGAAATCACAATTCACATCTTCTTAACAAAAGTGTTAATTCATGCAACTTATTAAAGCAATTTTAAACCTATAACACAGTGGTCTCAAAGTGGTGGCCCACAGATCGCATGCAGCCCCCAAAGCAATTTTATAAGCCTGCGAATACATTTTCTGTAAATCAATTAGCATTATTATGACTAGAAAAATTCAAGATTTAAGGGTTTCAAATCCAATTTAACATTATTACTAAAAATCTGATGTGTACACCACGATTTCCTTGTACGGAATATTAAATTATACGCATTTTTTCTTGCATTTTATTTAAACTTATTAGATTGAATTAAACCTACTTCGCCGACAGCGCATAAACCACAACAGAATAAATGCATTCTTTAAAATTCACTTTGTTTACCATAGCAACACTGTGGCGCTAGGTTTACTGAACAGTATTCTATTTCATTCATATTATAACTTATAATGCACAAAATGTATATCATTTAAAGAATTATCTAATCGTTGCCACATGTTCTATTCAAATACTATAATAAAGCTAGAACTATGTATAAAAGAAATTAAGCAAACAAAACACAAAACAGAAACAGTTTTTCACAGACAATTGAGTATTTCTCATTTAATTAATTCAGTTCTCACTTCGCGAAAAGGCAAAAATACATAAAAACTCAAAATATCTATATTAAAAATTACGAAGTAAATCTCAAACGCTTATTTCCTCGAAAAAATTCCAGAAAGAATTAAGCTTGATTTAATTGGCAATAATAAACGAATGCGTTATCTTTGTTGTTGCAAAGCTAAGTTTCTCTAGATTGGCAACAAATCCACTAGTCTTCTGTTTCAAATGTAAACATCAATGGCCGCCATTAAAAACAGGCTTAGCGGCAATTAAACAACTTTAAATTACTGATAATTCTAAAAATATTGCACACAGATTTTACTAAGGCATAAAATCCTTAACCGGAAGATAAAAACAACATAATTCAATCAGTTTTAAAGCAAAAAATGTACAATTTACAAACATATAAGAATAAAAGAAATTGAGATCACTGACCGGGTATAGAGTGGATATATATATATATAAATATATTTTTATAAACGTTTGGTGCTGCCGATTGCAACCAAAATACGAGGTGCACATATACATGTTATAGCAGTCCTATATACAAAATTTCAACATTCTGAGGCTACTCGTTTTTGAGTTATGCGAGATACGTACGTACGCACGTACAGACGCCACAAAAAATTCTCTTCAGAATTAATTTTAAAGCAGTTTTATAATTTTTTTGAAGGAAAAGAGTATTTTATTCTGTCCTTACGTACAGATATGACGCAAAAACATCGTTAAATTGCATTCGATAGCGGTCAAAATGGATATTTTCGTTGAAATATGCTGCCTGAAACTTTTCGCGAATACAATACTTTTTTTTTACTTCGTACAAGGAAGTAAAAATGAACATAAGGAATGCTTTGAAAAATCTAGAAATTGAGATAATTAATTTACATTGTAATACAAATCTCATTCAAAGATTTGAAGACACAAATTTGATTACCTTTTATTAGTACTTGTCAAACAATAAATAATATCTTCAATTATGGATTTTTACAATAACAATAATCGCTTTGTTTGGAAATAAATTTACATGTGAACATTTTTTCTCCAGAATTGAAAATTAATAAGTCTATGTAAAGAACCAGACTGGTGCTAAGTATCTTAAGTTGGTGTTGAAGATAATTATTTGAATAAATGTAAATGTGAAAAATTTAATATTTAGCTGTCAATACATTTGAATTACAAAGTGTGACTAATCAAAATTTCTTGCAGTTACTAAACTTTGCATTTTAAGCAAAAAATAAGTCAAAATTTAAATTTTTTCTTTGCACCATTTTTTGCACCAGTCCATTGTTACAACTATCTAGTATATTTTATTTTATTTAGGTAACAAGTTTTTTTTTTTTTTTTTTTGGTTAACAATAACATTAATTTTTTAAATTTTATTTTTATTTATTCATTTATTTATTTTTGTTAAATTGTGGCTTGTCAGCTACTTTCAAATTGTGCCCATGTACAATTTGAGTTTGAGACCACTGCCATATTATATTAGAAAACAAATTCCTGTAATACCTCATCAAACAGAACATTTCTAAGAATTTTGCTCAAGTAACTAATTTAGCATTTGCAGCCAATAGCTCAAGCTAGAATAACAGGTGTAACTCTTTTACTGCTCACACTGGTGAGCAAAAGGGCTTCTAGTCATTCTCCAACTTGATCAGCTAAGCTACTTACAAAACCGTGCTAAGGGCAATATTTTAAATCACATCATAAGAAATTGCACATTGGAGTCAACCTTTCAAATTGACGCTAAGAAACAGCATTTCTAAGAAGAGATACCCCCAGTGCCTTGCTTCTTTCAATGTGATAAGACTTTTCAAAATGTTTCTTAACAACACTACCATGTATGAAATACTTCATGTTTATCCTATGAGCAGCACAATGAGTATTTTGCCAAAGTTCAGATCAGACTACAATCAATAATTCTAAAAATTAGAGAATATAGTAATTGCAATAAATACATTTTTGACATATAATAACCAATTTTAGAAAAAAAAAATCCACCAAATTTTCTAAGAAATGGAGAGAAACTATAAAAATATATTCACATAATTGCTGCAGAAAGTTCAGTCAGTGTATCCAAATTGATAAAATTCTGCTTTTGTGATTATTAGAGAAGAAAGCAATTTGTTACTGAACAAAATTACAATTGTTTAATAAAAAAAGTTTATGAATTTTGTTTAAAATTTTTGCTTTAATTTTAAAAAATGTATTTATCACGATTTAAAATTGAGATGACATTTTATTTCAGGAAAATTCAAATGTGATAGATCTAGAATTTAATACACTGATTTTCTCAAAACATAAGATACACATCTTTCAAAATAGTAGCTCTCTATATATGTTTGATCACCTTTCAAACATAAAAACGTTCTCTTATCACCTTAGAAGCAAATACCGAAATATGCAAAAAATAATAACATACAAAATTACACATTTCATATTTAAAAAAAAATTTTAACAAATTTTATGCAAATATATCAAAGCTTTTTTATGAAACAATTAATATTTCACATCAAATAGAAACTTAATAAAATTCAGATTATGAATAAAATAAAAATTTTACATAAATTTCCTAGAAAAAATGCACTTAAAAATATTATATTAAAATGAAATTTAAATAAAAATTTATAAACTTAATTCAGTTTAATTTATTAAGAAACATTAGTCTGCTCAAGCAATTAGAATTTGTGCTTTATAACAGGTCCTTTCTCAGCCTTTTAAACAAACATCATTGGGAGTCATTCAATTCATTCTTGAATGGCTGCCATTTCATAACTGATACCTTATTCACCCTTCAGAATTCAAGGGAAAAATTAACTGTAGACATAATTTTAATTTAGTGTACAGTAAAAAACCAACACCAAACTGAAGCTAAAACTTTTAATACACTACTTGTTACTTCTCTCAGATGATCGTTCAATATGTGAAGGAAAGAGTCTTTCTCGTTTTTCATATTTATAATCCTGCCTGTAAAATAAAATTATATATACTAATTACACAGTTCATATAGTTTCATTAAACACAAACGAACTACAGCACAATCAAGTATTTTCACAGGGAAAAAAAAAAAAAAAAAAATCTGATAAAGTCTAAGTATTTTAACATGAAATGATTGTAAAATAATATTTAAGTGCACTAAATTACTTTTGTAACAGTTATACAGAATAGAACTTCTTCAACAACAAAAGAATTTAGGCTTCAAAATAAACAATAAAGATTTAAAATCAGTATATTAAAAATTGCCAAGTTCTATAGGTACACGAAAGAATAAAAAATGTCTTTTCATACATTATTAAAGCTAAATGCACCTCATGAGTATACAAAATATTAATTCAATCTGTATACAGTACAAAACCGGAAATCAATAGTGTCTCTTAAATGTCAACAGTGAAATGAAGATGGTTTTGGTAATTTTTATCAAAGTTTGCTCTTTACTGAGTTAGGTTTCATTGTTCAGTATTCAGTGTGCCAATTATAGAAATTTTACACTTCAAACTGCACCAAACATAGATATTTGCCATGTTTTGAGCGAGACACATTCAGCATTTATTTTTGTCTTTTGCAGCAATGAAGTCCCTCTGTAAAACAGTGCATCTGTCCCAGAACATAATTACTGTATCTGTGAGCAGAGAATGTCCATTTGAATTTCACTCTTGCTAGAGATGATGTGTGTCATCACAGTAATGTATAACTGCTGTTGGGATTCTAGGATCATATGAGACATTTATGTCTCATCCCCTGGGACTATATGGCAGTGGTTCTCAATGTTTTTGACTTATACACCCCTTTCATCACAGCCAGATCATTCCCCTCCTCCATTTCAAAACTTGAAAAATACACATACACATTTATTTAGATTATTTTCTAACATATTTTATAAATTAAACAACAAAAAAGTATAGAAAATATTGGTTACTACCAGACCTTAAATAAAGGTCTCCCCTCCTTTTTTTCATATTCATTAACTGCTGATCACATTCCCCCACCTAAAACTATCAAATTCCCTCTTGGTTAGGAACCTTTGAAATATGGCTTAATGACCTTCCTCACAGTATTATCTTAAAAATATTCTCTTCTTGGCTGTTCCTGATAAGCATCCTCAAAACAACTTCTTCCCTTAGCCCAAGTTAACTGACACAATTTTGTAAAACAAACTGATCATGAAATTTGTGAGAAATTCATTGATAATGTAGATACGGGGAATTTTCTATATTCACAAATCATGGTGTCTTTGTACATAAGATTGCCAATAACATTAGATGGCTGCTCTGAATGTACTTCATAGAACAAGGTCTCGTAAACCTTCTTTAATCAGCCTAATCAACTTATAAGCCATCATCCAAAATATCTGCACCATATACTTTATAGACCTCATGATGAATTGCCACTAGTACTTACATTTTGTTCTAATGGTTTTATTTAGCATTTAAATAAAGTTTTTCATTCCAAATAATTTTAAATTAATTCACATCAGGTAGGGGAATTCTTGATATACATATGAGTTTGCTAAATTTGGAGAATTAAATATTTACATTTAACTTCATATCTACTTTCGATTTGCATATGCATAGCAAGGACGAAATATGATGTCTGAAAAGTTGGAAGAAGTATGAAATACACTAATTCCACCCAGAAGAGTAAGTATTGTTTCATTATCTTTTCAATTTTCATTTTCAGGTAACTTTCTTTATATGGCTATAATTAGCAATTTTTGCATCACAATTTTCTGAATATCCACTACTATCAGTCATTACTTGTAAAGCAATTTTTCCATGCCGATTTTCCTTTTACTATTTAATACTTTAAAACATTTTCCTAAAACTATTTAAAATTTTAAAAAATAAAGTAATTTTTTTAGTAATATTAAATGTTTTAAAAAATTTGATATTACTTAAAAATTACAAATTTGTAAATTGGAATTTATTTTCACTTTAAATTGTAATTCTTTTACTTTATTGGCTTTCTTAATTTTACTTTGAAATGTAAGAATTATATACAAGTATTCACCCTTAATTATAATTATATACACACACACATATATATATATATATAGAGAGAGAGAGAGAGAGAGATAACCTCAGTTTTTTAACTGGCAGCAACTGATTTCAATAATTAAAAAACTCAATTGTTAAGTATTTACAACTTTTGTTTGATTTCATCTAATTTTCCATTCTTAACAGACATGGCTTTCAGTACTGCTAATCATTAAATAATTTGCTGAAATTCTCTCTTGTAATCCTCTGTAGACCAGTTCACTCTGTAATTCAGTTTGCAGGTACTGATGAAAAATCATCAAATCTATTTTTATTGACAAAACAATACATTACATACCAATTTAAAATTGCAGAAATAATAACTATGAATAAAAATAAAATATCAATTTACATCAAGATATGTACTACAACTATTGCACTTTCTACCACATGAAATAAATTAAAAAAAAAAATAAAATTAATTGTGAAAACATAGTATGCAGAATCATAATAAAAATTATATTGTATAATAACTAAACAAAATAAATAATTTAACAATATAAGTACATAAAATTTCTTACAGAAATTTATATTTCTCTCTTAATGTCTCAGGTATTTTGAATTCCTCTCTTTCGGGGGATGTTGTAACATACTGGCATTTGGCCCACTCCGTTACATCCCCAGAACAATGATAGCCATCAAATCTGAAAATGAAGTTATAAGTCAACAGCTGCATACAAAGTAGGTAATAATAATTTAAAATTATATATTCTAAATTTTAAAATACATATTACAATAAATAATAATACAATAAAAATCATTTTTACTCAATATTTTCTGTTTGTTTTCCATGTTGCAAAGAATATTGCACATTGCAATTAAATATTTAATGTTTTCCAAATTGCTAAATGCAAATTAATGTTTTCCATATTGCTAAATGCAAATTAAAATTTTCCTTGAATCCAATTACAAAAAGTAAGAAGTGAAAAAATTATTTTAATAAAAAAATAACTACACAAGAAAAATGCATACAATACACAGATGCTTATGACTGACTGTACTTTTATTAAATAAATTCATATGCTAAGTATGTATATTTTAGAAAGGAGTAAAGAGTTTCTTTAAAATATGTACATGTTAGGAATAAATACAAATAAATTTATTAAATAAAACTAACTTCAATAAACACTTACTTATAATAGGGTCTACTGTTCTTACACTCAGGACATAATTTCAAAGCTCCAAAAATCAAACAATCTGATAACTGATCCAAGATCTGAAATAAATTTTTTAGATTACATTTGGCATTCAATGGAAAAAAAATGAAAATATGTATAATAGCACAAGATTCAGTAAAGGATTATTTAATTCAGTAAAGGATTTTAAAAATGAATTATTTAGGAAACCAGAAAAAGTATTTAAACGTAAAAATCAATATTAAATGCAACGTTTCAGGTTGAAATTCAATTGAAATAAATATTATTGCAAAAGTGAGAGGCCTTTTGGCACCGGGGGAGTTGTTGTTCTTTTTTAATAAAGATACATTTTCTTGATTGCAAATTTACTATTATTATGTATCTACAATGGAATCTATTTGAATGATGCAGAAATTATTTCTTTAACATATTTTTCACCAAATGCCCATATCCACAATGCATGCCTCAAGCATCTGTTGTAGAATCCTTAAATGTTAAATAACTTGAATTCATGTGATTTTGTAAGTTATTAAACCATATCTACATTTATTTAATAAAACAAAGTTTTTAACTTTTGTATAAATTAAAAAAAAAAAAAAAACAAAGATGACTAGAGTCCTTATGGTGTTGCAGAATTTTATTGTTATGATTAGATTTTACTTTTGAAGAACTGACAAATTACATATAGAAACATTAGAAAGAAATTCTGTAACCTAGATGCCAATACAAGACATTAGAAGTATTTTCTATTAATTGCACTAATAAGTGTAATATGGTGTATATAAGTCACATTTATTCCATTATAATGTAAATATGAATAAAAACTAATTATAATTAAAATTAAGTTTATTAATTTTCTAATAAATTAATTAATATTTTTGATTAAAGTGCTCTTAATGAAAAAGCTAAAATCATACTAAGCATGCTACTTCTAGAAGTGTTAGAGTAGATAATCAAATTATGAAAGTATGTATAGCAGCACAGCATTTCATTAAAAGGAATATGTATATAAATCAATTTATTTAACCTCTCTGGCTCGGACAGCCATTATTATGAATACAATATTCCCTGTCTGAAAAGATATGGATGCCCACCTTACTTGAAATTTGTAAGGAAAAGAAAATCAGTTAATGAAATTCAAAAGGGGGAAAAATCAGTTAATGAAATTTTAAAAAAAAAAAAAAAAAAAAAAAACTGAGAATAAGCTAATAGACTAAAAAATATCTATAAAATAAAATAGTAAGGAATTTTATAACACAACTTTGATATAAAGATGATATAGAATCAATTCTTGCAAACACTTCAGAAAAATAATTTTGTAAGATAATCAAAAAACATTATTAAAAACTTGAATTAAAACATAAAAATCTGATGTAGACACAACAACTTTCTTTTATGCCTATTAATATTAAATACATACAGTTTTTGCTGCACTTCATTTAAACTTATTTTCTCGAATCATTTTAACTTAATCCCTCAAGGCAAAATGAAAATGACAATAAAAATTGCAAATTTTGAAATTAAATATCATGATCAATTTTTGTCAAACGGGAGTCAAATTTCTTATAATTTTATTTTTTCATGTGTATAAACCTTTTCCAGACATATAGAAACTGAGAGACAGCATTAAAAGTTAGATTTTGTTATTTGTACAAAATTATTATTATTATTATTTATTTGAAATTACCAAAACATGAATATTTTAGCTACTTAAAATGCTTCTGTAACTGAAAGTATATGTCTAAGACAAACGATTGTGAAAATAAAGGCTGGGAAAGGACTTTTAAGCTGAGTAACAGGGATGGGTCCCATGTATATTTATGTATATAAACTTTTGGTGCTTCCAATTGCAATTAAAAAGGAAGGTGCACAGCTAGATGTTATGGCAGTTCCATATACACAATTTCAGTGTTTTAGAGTTAATCATTGAGCTATGCAAGATATATACCTATGTACATATATCAGGAAAAAAATTGAATCCATTTTACAGCCTATTTTGGAATAAAGCACCCTTTATTCTCTCAGTATGTACAAATATCATGATAAACAGTAGTCATAATGTATCCAGGAACGGTCAAAATGGCTATTTTTGTTGAAATCTGAAACCCCAAATTTTTAATGATTACAATGGCTCCTATACTTTGTAGAATAAAGTAAAAAGAAAGTTATGAGCTATAATTTGGAAAAACTGAAAGATTTCTGTTGTAACAGAAATATAAATCCCCTTATGCATATCTCTGAGTAGCCTAATTTGGGAACAAGGCACCTTTAAATTTTCCCTCTTCAAGGAAAAGCAGCTAGCAATTTAATCATTAATCTTTGCATTTCCCTTGTTTCTGTGAAGTAAATGTGCCCCTTTAATGATGAATCAAACTACAAACAAAGACCACTGTTGGAAGCAGTATGCTGTTTTTTGAAAGGAAGAAAGCATTAGGTACAAGAATCACCATTTTATTAAGGATCTTACACATGTGAACCATAAGCGTTAATGTATTTTCATTGTCAATTACCATATGATGATGAAAGAGATTTTGCATATGAAAGAAACATACTATAAGGTATTTTCTACCTCTTTTCTGCATGGCCTTCATGGTGTAATTAGAAGCATATTTGAAGTGTTTTTGAAAGATACAGGATTCGAGTCCCAGTGAAGGCATTGCACATTTTTCCTGTCATCAGCACGAAAAAAACCTAATGACTCCACAAGTGATGCCTGAACTAAAAGAGGATGGATGATAATTTGTTACCGCCAGGGTTTGGTGACAGGGTTCTTCTATCTCCGGTTGTCCTTTAAAAGAGGAGTATATCAGATATTTTCTTTTTCCTTTCTGCATGTTTTTGTGGTCTGGCATTCAACATTATTTTTTCAAGTTCCAGCATCAATATAACTTAATGACTCAAGATCAGTCATGAAAGATCACTAATTATTTAGTCTGCACTATTAATTTTATTCTAGAAAAATTTTAACATTGAAAGGCTAAATAAAGATTGATGCTCAATACTAAAAATGATAAAAGATAGGTACTGAAATAAAATTAAAGGCTACAAGACAAAAGAACATGATGACATTTTATACAAACATTTAATATAAAGCTATACGATTTTGTTTAGAAATTGAATGATGCTAAAACATTGCTGCTGATATCAAACTAAGTACAAAACTTAAACAAACAAGAAATCTAATTCACCATTTTCATTCTAAATGATAACTACATAATAGGAAGTGCCTCTCCTCTAACAGGTATGCACATTTCATAATGTCTATCCATACTACAAATTAAAGTGCTAATTAAGACTTGTGGAATGAAATGCCTTTTTTTTAAAAGGCCAAATCACAGTTTCTAAAGCAGTAGTTCTCAACCCTTTTTATCCCATGAACTCCTTTCATAATTGCTAGATTACCATTATCCATTATTTCTTTCCCAAACTAAAGAAATATGTATACATTATTTAAATTTAAATGTGTGTGTGTGAGATTATGGTAAAGCCTCGAGGGCTATCTGCTTAAGAGGAGGGATGCCTTCGTGGAGGACTTTCTAAGGGAAACTGGCTCGTATACACGTTACACACGGGAAAACCACGAAAACGCCCATGCCAGCCCGTTCGCGGGATTCGAACCTCGGACCGAACTACCAGTGTTCAGCGATTTTACCGCTCGGCCGCTGGTGGGCTAAATTTAATTGGGAAAAAGTGCAGAATCACCTTCTGCTTGGAGCGTTTTAAAGAATTACACATACTCTGTATCCATGTACACATCAACCTATTTTCACTTAAAAAAACATCCCAGAATTGCACACAAAATGGCATTGCACACTCCCTTGACTTTGTCTATGTACACATCGACTTATTTTCACTTAAAAAGTCAAAGAAAATTGACAAAAATCCAATTCTTCTTACTCTTGTAAAAAGCGCCAAACAAATAAGTGGGCGATTCTGCCCTTTACCCATTTAAATTATTTAATGTGTTTTATAAATCAAGCAAGGAAAAATATAGGAAATATTGACATATATCCACACTTGAACAAAAGTAGTTTTCTATATTCATTACTTTTAAATACTTAACACATAAAAACAAATAAAAGGTTGAACAATAAAAAAGGTTACAAATAAAGGCATAAATAAAAGGTTCCTACAATTCTAAATTAAAAAAATTACTTATGACTTTTGAACTCACATTACTCTCCCCAGTTGGAACATGATGATTATTATGCTCCAGCAATGTTACCATGTCTTTTCTTGACAAATTAGCTTTAAGCTTATCTCTCATATCATAAAGAAGCTTATTTTGGGCCTATTAAAAAAACACATAAGAATTTTTGATTTTTAAAATAATACATATAAATAATTAATAAATAAATGTGCATATATGTACATTCATACATTCTTATATACATTGCATATTGTACTCAGGATCAGTGCTAATTATTCGTCACCCTGTACAATCTCTAGAGTTTTGAAATTCTGCCAACCATTGCCTCCCTAAATTAAAAAAAATTACTGCCTCTAATTTCTGTTGCCCTTTGTGACTGCAACGGTTGCACCAGCTCTGCCAGTATTCAGAACATGAACAATATTGAAAGCTTAGAATTCATTCAAAAGATGATTAAAATTATTAATTATATGCATGCTAATATAAGATTCTAACAACAACCTGAAAACAGATTATCAATTTAGATGTACTTTTTTTTTTTTTAACATTTAATATATTTACAAAATATTTTTGCTCACTGAAGAAGAAAGATTAGTAAAGTACAAAGTCTGAAATCCAGACGTCCATTATACGGAGTGATATAAAATCTGGACCTCAAAACCACCAACAAAATTTTTCTCGTAGGCTTTATGCATGTGCATTTAATTTTTCCCTCCGCACATAATAGAACATCTGGAGAGTCCCGATTCTTAATTTCACTTCAACACTAAATAAAATACCTTGTTATTGAAGAAACAATGATGTTAGCCTAAATTTGTACGATCAGTAATTTGTCTCCGTTGCTGCGTATTTGCTTGGCATGCATCTTAAACCAAAACATTCCACATAGATACATCGTTGATCTGACACCTGGTGAATAATTATTTATTATACTTTCCTGTTATTACCGCCCGTTTATCAAAACATGACAACTTGAGTAATGATTCGTGTAACAATACCTAAACAATTTTGTTATATTAGTATTTAAATAATAAAGGAGTGTGGTAACCTTTAATGTTGACATTATGTTTGGCGATAATTACAGATTTCAGTTGCACGAAAAATGTTGATGAGGAAAAATTTCTTACCATATGCTAAAAATAGATTTTGTTATGATACTCATAGACCCAAAGATTACATTTACATCATAAATACTTCATTATTTCATAAATCGCGATTTCATATTTTTAATTTTATAATTTCTACATGACATCTTACTAGATGGAAGCTGATGATCTAATACAGTCAAAAGTCGATAATTCGGACACCCCTAATTCGGAATGATCTATAATCCGGACCTCAAAACTAAAACTTCTTTTCTGCGCATCGCCGCGTTGACACAATGCGCATAGGCGTTTACGCGTCGCGTAAACCTTTACGACTGCGCATATGTTGCGCAATGCAGAATACGTTTTCGCGTGGCGTTTTATGTATAATGGACGTATAACTAAAATTATCTAATATCTATTCAGTTAATGTTGATGATTGCGTTTTCCTTATTTTCGATGGTCCGCTTATTTTTTTGCAGACTGTAACAGCATTTTCTAAAAGTAAGCCTTAAATTTTCGATTAATCATATAATTTCTGATATAATTTGTTAATAGTAAAGGATCTAAAGCGAAAGTATGTTTGAAATCCGAAACTTTTTTCATTTTCACGCTGCTCGTGGGGGAACGCCGCGCGCGCGGCGGGTTGCGTAATGAATTGAATTATCTGTCAACACTATCCTTATCTTCAGGGCAATTTTTTTTTATTTGGCTTAAATTGAATTTTGGCTTATAATTCCTCACCAATTATTTCATCTCGATATGCTCCGTCTTGATATGATTTAAAACAAGTCCTCTTCATTAATTCGCTTCCGATGCAAAGAAAAGTCACATAGGTTATTGAAACGAAAAAATTCGATGACAATTTGTGGTTTCTTGACACAGCAATTATAGGACTTGAACAGCGGAACTTTGTAACTGAACAAGAAATTATGTCTGTTTAATAGAATTAAAGAGAAAGTATTATCACAGAAACGAAGCAACTTAAACAACTTACATTGAAAGAAATTTTTATTTAAGTAAACAATAAATATTAACTTTTTCTTTTTTGCAATTTGATACCCTTTAGATCATTGTTCTTTATTTAAATTAGGTTCATATTTTAAATTTTAAATTTCTGCATCCATCTTATTACGATTTAAACTGATGATCTATAATCCGGAATCGCCGAAGTCCCGACGAGTCCGGATTAATGACTTTTGACTGTATCTGGAAAAATCCCAAATCCGTAATCGCCAAAGTCCCGACGAGTCCGGATTTTGGACTTTGTACTGTACCAGTTTTTCGCAATGCATATAGCATTTCTTGAAAATTAATGCTAATCTAATGTTCAAATTTTTTCAATCAAAGATAAAATTTGTGTTCTACATTTTTACCCAATGATACAATGATTCTAATCTCTTCCAAGTAATTTACACTCAGCTGAAGAGCTGTAAATTTGCAGCAGAGCAATTTGGAATTTTAAGGTTATTTGGATATAGCAAAGCATAAAATAGTCATCTGCCTGAGGGAAAGAATGCCTTTGTGGAGGACTTTCTACAGGAAATTGATTCATATTCACATTACACATGGGAAAAACCACGAAAACCAATCATGCAGCCAGCTCTTTCTCCTCATTTCAAACCCAGGTCGAACTATTAGTACCCAACTGTCGATTTGGTATATGAATCATTACTATTGTTATAATTGTTATTGTAGTAATGCTTGTCAAGTAATGTACGATCAGTGATTCATGATTCAAATAGTTTATTTATTTATTTTTCTGCCATATAGTCTTATGAGTAAAAAATCATGCATGCAAATATCCTCAAAATGCATAAGTTTATTTCTGATTCAGAAGTCAAACAACAAAAATCAGCGTTAATTCACAGGACTTGTTTCGATGGTTTTAACCAAATCTCCTGCACCGTGAAAATTTTGGTGAATACGCTGTTTTGTTGTTTGAGTTTTTTAATATGATTCGTCGTGTTTTGGTTAAGTTTTTCTTTATTTCACTGTATTCAACCCGATGTTCTGGGTCTTACAGTGAATCCTTTATTGTTCTATTAGTGAATAGGACATACATATTGAGATTAAATCCAAATGATACTGAAATTGTAAAGACCTTATTTTGTTCTAACCAAATATTTTTAGTTTAAGAAACTTTTCCTTCTGATTTCAGTTTCCTGCTAGAATGTAAATTTAATGATGTACATGCAAATCTAAGTTAGTTGGAAAGAGTACTTAAGCAGCAGTTAAGAGTTTGTGATAGGAGAGTTAGTTCCAAATTTATGCTGTGTGTTTGAAATAGCTTTGTAAGTGAATAGTTAGTGCTAGCTACTTTCTATAGACTATATTGATATTCTACGCTCGGCTTTGCTGTGTGCAGCCGATTCAGCGGTTTTGATAAAGGAGCCAGATCACGTAGCCAATCTTTAACTTATTGTGATTGTACATCCTATTTTCTGATCAAGTTACTTAGCTACAATTAGTGGTTAAATTGTCAGCACCAAGATAAAAAGGTTATTAAAAACCTTTTTCTGAAGCTCTGTCTTCAGACCTCTAGCGAGAATTTTCCTCTTTGAGATGGTCTGTGAGGAAGCAACAAGGACTGGTAAATGTTTGTGTTTTTTTATTTACTCTAACCCACTCAAGGACGCAAGAGTATTAGGTTTAAAGTAATATTGTTAGTGGGTTTGTGCAAATGGATTACTCCTTTTAGCATTAAAATTAAGGCGTGTTGGATGGAGTTTGCTTGAAGTGTAAAGTTATGACTCATGATTAGGTAAAATTTTACAACAATTTTTGAGACTGCTTTATGCTCCATTTTATCGGGTAAAAAAATAGTATTATTGTTTCCTTTTATAAGATAAGAATAAAGCTGTTTAATGTTCATGAACATTAATGGTAATGTACTTTAACCTTGATGTTAACACCTTTTTTAATGGAAAATATTTAACCTTAAAATTGCATAACCCCCCAGCAATTGCAATTAGCTTGTCTCAAACACATTTGGAAGCACATTAATATATATTTTATTTGCTTAAAATTTCAATACAGTTTAATTAAATGTATAAATACAGAATATTTGTTATACAAATATAAATATAATAAAGGGAATCCGTAAAAATTCTTAGATTCAAAATTGAATAAAGTAAAAGATGCCATTTGAAGTCTAAATCCAATTACAAATTCGTAATTTAGTATATAAATTATTTTTTTAGTTTAAGGTTTTAGAAAAATTTTACAAGTATTAAATAGTAAAGTTAATCGGCATGGAAATAATTCTAATTCAGGGGAATTCTTTACATGCATGTGAGTAGCCAGTTTTGGGGAATTAAATATTTACAGTGATTTAATTGAAAGTAGAAATGAAATGAAATTTCATTTCTACTTTCAATTTGCATATGAAAGAAGGAAAATAATTCTGGCGTTGGAAGGTGTTTCTAAGCTAATTATCTCTGAAGAGTCAGTATTATTTCATTATCTTTTCAATTGTTCATTTTTAAGTTATTTTCTTTATATAACTTTATCATTAACAATTTTTGTCACAGTTATGCAGATCCACTTCCAGGGAGTAAACAAATTCCAGAATTAGAATATTTCCATGCATTTAACTTTATATTTAATACTTGCAAAGGTTCTAAAACTTTAAATTTAAAAAATTCAATATTACTTAAAAGTTTACAAATTGTAAATTGAATTATTTAGACTTCGCATTCTTTTCCTTGTAGCTCTCTTATTTAATTTCAATACAAGAATTTTAAGAATACTCCTCTTTAATTATAATTATTTTTAAGAAATCATGCAGCCTAGAACAGGTTCTTAATAATCCTTCCTTACATTATTATTTGTTAGTACAGTCAAAAGTCGTTAATTGACACCCATAATCCCGAATGAATAATCCACCTCAAAGCTACAAAACTTTCTTCGCATGTGCCGCTTGACGCATGAGCATAAGACCTCACCGCTGCTATTTGCGTGCCATGCGCAAATACGTTACGAATGGCGTTTATGTATAACGGACGGATTAAAGAAAGCTAAAAATCTAATTATCATTCAGTTATGTTGCAGATTCATTGTCCTAATTTCGAATTGGATCGGATAGTATTTTTTGCAACTGGTAGAGCAATTTTATAAAAGTACTTGAACTTTCGATTAGTCAACAGAATTCCGATATATATTACTAATATGTAAAGGATTATACAAGCGAAAGTATCTTCGGACCATAAACAAAAAGTGGAATTGCTGCAAAAAATGGATTTTATCGGGGTTTATCTAAACTTTTTATCTTTAAACACTGTGGCCGCGTGCATTGAATTGAGTTGATCTGTCAGCACTATCCGAGCTTAAGGGCAGAGTTTTTTTAATTGGCTTATAATTCTTATCAATGAGTATTCATCTGTCTTTGATATTTAAATCAAATGCCTTGTCATTATAATTCGCTTCCGATAGTGAAGAAAGTGATAGAGGTTATGAAAACGAAAAAATGCGATTGACAAATTAGTCGGTTTCTCTCGACAAATTATATCCTTGAACAGAACGTTTAATTGAACAAGAAATTATTTGTGTTATAGAATTAAAGAGAATTATACAACAAAAAAACAAGCAACTTAACAACTTCTTGAAAAATTTTATAAATAAACAAATAAATATACTTTTTTTTTTTGTAAATTTGATACCCTTAAAATCAATGTTCTTTATTTCGTAAATACGGTTCAATTTAATTTATAATTTCGGCATGCCATTTTACCAGATTAAACTGATGTCATAATCCGGAAAAAATCGATAATCCGGAAATCGCCGAAGTCCGACGAGTCCGGATTAACGACTTTTGACTGTAATATATATATATATATACACACATAAGTACATGGATACAGAATTTTTTAAAAAATATATATAAAACTTATCCTTATTTTAGACACTAGTTACATGTCGTAAATAAATATTCAGACTACATTAAGACATTACTGGCACTTACTAAAGACAAAATTCAAAGATTAAAACTACAAATACATTTCTCTTCACTTATTTTTAAAATTCTTAAAAGCAGAACAAGATGCAGAGAGGGAAAAAAATAACTATTATACACATACTTCTAATGCTTCATCGTCTTCATTATCAGATTTTTTTGATTTTTTTGCAGAATTAGATGTTTCATCATTTTCATTCTTTCGTTTACTACAAAAAATTCATATTTTAAAAGAAATAAATTAAATACAATGAAAAATTTTAAAACTTATTAAAAATTTGCTGATAAAATACTATTTCTTGAATCTCCATTATATTAAAAAAAAAACTATTGACATAACAGCATTAGAACTTTTTAAAGCTGTTTATATCTGGAAGATATTTTTTAGCTTGCGATTTTAAAAGTACAATTAGAAAATGCTTACCCTCCAACACTCTGAAGTTTTTCTCTAATTACTTCTTTATCTCCATCTGAGAGGGTTTTGAAACCTGGCAACCTACAAAGAATTAAAAAAAATTACCTTATAAAATTAAGACAACTTTACAATTTCAGTTACAACAACACACACACACACACACACAAAAAAAAAAAAAAAAAAGAAAGAAAGAAATATATTTATAGGAAACTAATTTCACATACATTTCAGCATCTTCAGTAAATCCTAAATCCTGTCTGTTTTTTACAAAACAATCAGCATGACGCCATCCTAATATGGGCCCATACCGTTGAGCATCTGTGCTTTTGGTGTCAATTTTTGCAATTCGGACATCTCCCTAAAATTGAAATAAATTAGAGATGTGATTATTAGAAGTATTTCTGATCTTTATTTTTCAAGTTTATTTTAAAAAAGAGGGGGGGGGGAAGAAAAGATTTAAATCAAAAATCCCCCTTTTTAATATTTCATTTGAAATGTACTTATTGTAATAATAAAGTATATATGCTGAATTAAAAATTTCAGTATGCATTTTCCCCGAATTATGGAAAAGGTCTACACTACATATAAGAACCCAGTTAAAAGAAATCTGCATAACTAACTAGTGAACATTAAATGTTACAGAATATTTAAAAGCATGATACATATTAAATAAGATGACTGCTAGAACCAAATATTCATGTTAATTATATTTGTCACAAAATTTCACTGGTATCACATATTACCCTGTTGATACTGAATGAAAATGACTACATCTTCTTAAGTTTTGAATCATTTCTTTATCTTGACTTGTTACTAATTGCAAAACAGTTTTTTCATTTTTTATAATAATCTTCAGTTTCCACATTATTATACTAAAGCATATTAAATAATGGTGAACTTATGCAGTTATAACAGATCTCTTAATTCATAAAGAAAATGGGGTACTTAAATTGTTTGCCACCTACAGATACATTGTAAACAACCGAATAAAACATTTTAGCAGTGAAATCTATTTTTTTTATTTTCATCATGCATTGATTGCCAATTGCAGTCAAAAATGGGATCAAACAGATTGTTATTCTCTGCAGTTTGTCTCTGTTTCTGTATGAACTCTGATTAGTAATATGGTAAGTGATGATGAGTTGTACCACACTGCTGCTTATTCCTTCATTTTGCAGTTCTTCATCTCTATATTTTTCATTGTTTCAAAGTTCAGATAAAAAAAGAAAGAGAGGTCATCCTTTCCTCCCTTAGCCCCCCTTCCCCTAATGCGAGAGAACATTAATAAGAAAAGGAAAAGAAAATATCTCCTTCGTAGAGGAATCCCGAACACCTTCTAGGGCTGCTGAACACTTGCAAGAATCAGAGTTATGGGTGGTATTTTTGTGATGCACTGCACCATATAACCAATAAATACTAAAAATATTGCAAGACGATCTTTTATCAAAAATAAAGAAACCTTATTAATATAATTATGCTGAAGTAGTTCAGTAACTTTATTAGAATTATTATCCAAATGCGAGTAATTTCCCATGCATTATTTGGCCCATCAGTGATCAAGTTATTAAATCTGTAAAACACAGATATTTTCTCTCAGTATTGATTCTTGATAACTACATGCAGGGCTGGATTTACGTTAAGCAATTTAAGCACATGCATCACGAAAAGATATTTCAGACAGGTCCTTCAGTATTCGGGAAAGAGGCATAAAATAATTTTTTATTGTTGGTTTTACATGGCATGTATGGTGTAAACAATATGCCATGTAAGGTGTAAACACCATACATGGCATAATTTCCTATTGTTGGTTACATGGCATAAAATAATTTCCTATTGTTGGTTTTACATGGCATGTACCCGACACATAGCACAGTGGCAAACAGCATTGGTCAATGTATCCACAAGGACAGATGTGTATACTGCAGTAATTTTTTGGAAGGCCTTCAGCATACCCTATATCTGGCCACACTACACAGTGCTATACAATGTACTTCAAAGTCTCTTAAAGCCATATTGATTTATTATAATATGTCATACATCACATATTACAAGAGTATCAATGTGTTGAACAAACACTATACGACATATTGTAATAATATAGTATGGTGTAGCTAAACCAAAACCAACAGATAGAAGGAATAAAGAAAAAAACTGGCTTAAACACATGTGGGGGCACGAAAATCTTTTAGGTGCTTAGGGCCTCTGAAGGTCTAAATTCAGCTTTGACCCAATGAGTTGACTGTAGACATGACAGTACTGCAATTAAAGAAAAAAATCCTAACCATGAAATTAGATTTTTGCAGAAGTATAATGGTTCATAATATACAGATTACTTGACCATTTTATAAAATTACAAATAAATATTCATTAAAAATTTATATATTAATTTTAAAATGTCATTTTTTAACAAATGAGAAACAGTAATTCAAAAAGGAGGCCTAAAATTTCTTTAAAATGTTTCTCACATTATAATAACAGCATATTTTCAATAAAGTAGCATCTGTACTTTGTATCAAAATATTATGCAGGGCGGGTCAAAAAAATGTATAAACATTTTAACAGATGGTACCAGCGTAATGGTTTTGAAATTGAATTGAATTATATTATTACAATATGTCGTATAGTGTTTGTTCAACACACTGATACTCTTATGGTTGTAATATGTGATGTATGACATATTATAATAAATCAATATGGCTTTACGAGACTTTGAAGTACATTGTATAGCACTGTGTAGTGCGGCCAGATATAGGGTATGCTGAAGGCCTTCCAAAAAATTACTGCAGTATACACATCCGTCCTTGTGGATACATTGACCAATGCTGTTTACCACTGTGCTATGTGTCGGGTCAGTAATAGCCATAACTTTGACCACTTTAAGTTACTGTACAAGTACAGGTATAAAACAATAGTATTCAGACTAAGACATGGATAATTAATTATACCAGCCTATAATTAAGTTTGGTACTACAACATGACTGGCTTTATACGGTCATGAGATTTCAGTCAGCTGGTATATATTAGCTAATTTAAGAGATTTTGCTTTTTTACGTTCTTTAATAATGTAAATGTCATCTTAATGAATGTAAGTTTGTACAAATAGGTACTAAAATAAATAAGTATACATATTTAAATAAAAAAGGCTGTTTTAACAGATGTATTCATGACAGATCTAAAAACACGTGACACTTCGAAGGTTAAAGTGTGTACCTTTTTTCTGAGAGACATATACTGGCTTCATTCTCCATGACACAAGAGTAAAACACAAATATTTATGTTAATTAACATCCACATTATTATTTCCTCTTTAAGTATTCAACAAAATCTTAAAATATACAACAGGCTATTAAAAACAAATGAGAGAAACCCTCCTTTAGAAACTAATTTGCAGAAAGAGAGAATGCTTAATATCTTTGTGATAACGACAATAAATGGACAGCATTAAAGGTATATATTCAAAAATGGATAATTTTTTCCCTAAGCATTTTTGGATCTCTTTTCTAAATACAAATTTTCATTTTTTGCAGATTATATTTCCTTATTCATCTAGTATTAAATAAATTGCTAATTTTTGATTATTCCAATCCCTCAATTTCAATATTTGATTTCAACGTTTTTCAGCATTTATGCATATATCTGAGATGACGGCAGAAATGCACATATTGACTATATAGATTTTTGTTTTTTCTCATAAAACTTGTTTCTTATAAAAATGCTCTTTCTTATTATTAATTCTGAACAGAACCATACAATGAGATGTAAAGATAGCTAAATAAAAATATTTCATGCATTAATAAAGTTGGCAATGAGTTGCCGATTTTTGTTACAGTGCAGATAATCAAGAAGTACCAATAAATGAATTAGTAATTATCATTCTGTTCATCTAACACAAAAAGCAAAACCAAATGATGATTTAAAAAAAAATATGATTACCTTCTTGATTTTCTCACCACAATCCCTACAAGAGCTACGACTTGATTTTGCATATTCAATTAAAAATTCAGAATTTTCAGTAGCTCCCTCAGGATTATTAGCAGCATTTTCATCTAATAAAAAAAATTAGCTGTTTCAGTAAATAAATAATCTCTAATTTCATATGCATGGTGTAAGCAAAATAAATATAGTAATATAAAAGCAATAATGATAGGATATGTCAAAAGACAACTCCAGCTTCTCAATAACCTTTATTGACAAGAATATTGTAACTTTATCCCTATTATTCAATGCTAAATTGAAATTCATGAAAACAGTGCAAGCATACACATTTATCTCTTGAATAAAACTATGAAAAAGGTAATGAAATAAATTTTAAATTATGAAGGATAAAGCAAAACAGGTCTATTTTGAGAATGTAAATAAATAAGTATGCACAAAAAGTAATTTTATCTTAATAATTATGTGTCCACAAATGTACAACTTTATGTTATCATGATTTTATGTCATCAATAATTTTGATGTTTTTTAAATACTTCTTTTTTCCTTTTTCAGTAATGTAATACATTTTGTTTAATACAATATTTGAAAAAGTGCATTAAATTCACTATTAAAAAATTGAAATCTGTCTCCCCCCAATGATAACACAAATAATGTTTCCAATCCAATAAATTTCAAGATATTTTAAGTTTATGAAGTTTAGTGCAGCTGAAGAGGTTACAGGTTAATTATTGTACTTCTTATTTGCTCATAAAAGATTAGTAAAACTTAAATCTTCATAAAGTTTTTTACATAATCTTTGTAAAACATATCTACATGATTTATTTTGTTAAATATTTCCATTCATAAAATTTCCCAAAATGAAGTAGAGGATTTCATAAAAAAAGTTTAACGCTGGAATGTGAATGTTCCATAAATATAAAAGCTAATTTTTTTGAATGATCCTCAAAGTCCAATTAGCAAAATGTTCATTATGCTTTAGATTAGTTAGATTCAGCTGCTCAGATGGGAAAGTGGTTTGTGATGCCCCTACTGAAGGGCTTGGGTCGTCCAAATCCCGAAGAAGGCATGGAAGTGCAGTGTCTGTGCGGAATGAGGCCACTCAAAATATATATGCTGAATTGAAAGTCCTGTCAAGAGGTTGATTATAAAGGAAGAGGGGTGGAAAACCCTTGGACCTATCCTTCAGGGTGCTCTCCCTCAAAACTGAAGTGGAACTGAGAAAAGTCAGACTGTCACCTGTATAGTGCTCAAGGCTCTTACCAATAACAGGCACAATCTTGTACTCCTTGTCACTATAAAATTTGTGGGTTTATTCAGATTAGGTCAGACAAGCGAGAGTAGTCAGCAGAAGAAGTTTCATTAAAAAAGTTCCACAACCTTGTGAATGAAGTTTGTGAAGATATTTGGGAATGAATTTGCTGAATAAGAATGCTTTTAATTACCTACTATTATATGATTTACATAAAATTTTGCATGGGCTTATGGGTAGTTGCTTTTTTTTTCAAATAATGCTTTAATATTATGCAAAAATGCATTAATTATTAGCTTTCTACCTATTCTCCTGAAATTATCAATAAATAATCAACTGTGCAACTTTTGTATCGAAGGACAATTTTTTATTTTTAACCCTCTAAACATTCGATAATTTGCTGCCAAAACTCAGCAGATTTCAAAGTGCCCATGAAAGTAATTTTATTATTATAACCATTATTTTATTTATTCATTTTTTATGCCAGCATGGCACAGCCACCTTTGCACTTTTTCTTGCAATATAAATGGCAGATTGATTTAAAGCACATTTCAAATTAACTCTTATGTGCATATCCTTAAAAGTAAGAGACAAAATAGTGTTGAATGTATATATATAGCATTGTCAGTTAAGAGTATATCCTTTAAAGCATAGGGAACAATTTACTTAATGAACTTTCTGCACTATGAAGATCTACAAAATGTCAGATTTTATGTTGGCAGAATCTTCCTATTCCTACACTGAAACTGTTTTCGTAAAATTTTCTGCATCATTTCAAAAGTTTTCGAAGGAAGATATGTCTAGTACCAATAGTTAAGGAAAATAAATCTTGTAACAATTTTGTTTTCAAGCATGCCATATAATGAGGACCAGATATAGATTTGATGAGATCCTAAGCTATTTGAGATATGGAGCCTTTTATGAGGGATATGAGTCAATTTGTTTTATATGGGATATGCTCCAATGTTTCAGGGAAGGGGGGCCCTAAGCTATAGTTTGTTCAGCTTTTATGTAAATCTGGCACTGCATATAATTATCAAATACATTTCATACATTTTAGGTTCTCCTAATCAATCTAAGTTGGCCTATGAATACAGTTCAACTCATCAAATGAACAGTGGAGGGTATATTTATTGTATTGTGAAGAAAAGAAATTATGGGCTTAAAAAATCAGGTACATTCTTTTAAAATACTTATTAATCAAAGTATATACTATTTAAAGTGTAATTAAAGTTGAGTAATAGAAGATATTCAGCTTTTTCAAATTCAAGGTTTCCTTAATCTTGCGTAATTAAAAAAAAAAAAAATTATAAAGATTGCAGATTGCAGACTTGCAGATTTTTAATATAGCTACCTGTTTAACTTTGCAAAAATATTTAATGTGTTTATTAAGTTGATAACTTTATAAAAAAAGGGGATAGCTAAAAAATATACTAGTGACACAGAAAATCTGCACACAAAATTTCAACTATGTAACTGCTTTCTCTGAAGTAACTATAGAATTTAAATTACAAAGTAGCTAAAAGCTGTACGTGAAATAAATGTGAATACAGAAAATGTTCAATGACTTTTCTTCAATACCTATAATATATCTATGCAATATCTTTAATATATCACTTTATTTTGCTGCATGTCAATGCCTTTTTTGTTGTAGCCTTGCCATGTTTTAACAAATCCTTTGCAGTAAAATCTGTAAGTATTTCAAAACCACATTCTGTATTTAGCATGTCAATATGAACTATTTTTTGATTAGTTTACTTAATTTTTACATGCTTAAAAAAATTATAGCTTCTATTACTATTTCTATTTTCCGTTGCTATATACATTTTCATTATGAACCCATTTTTATTCCAATATAGCGCAAGCTGAAATGTCATCGATTACATTTTTGTCATATATTAGGATTACAGAATAAAATTATATTCATTCATTTTTTTAAATTCCTTTCATATAATATTTCTAAATTAAACCACAAAATGGAAAAATCCTCCAACATTTACTACAAATTACTTTTCATAAATACTATTCATCACACAAAATGATGAAGTACTGCTGTGAATGCTGTACTTAAACTCAATAAAAGGTACTCTCTGAAATAGCTTCTAGCATTTTCTCTCAATCTTTTTCTCTCCTAGCTCTCAACTAGGAGGCTCAATTCCCTCAGGCAAATTTTATTCCACAGACAGATATATAAACACCAATTTTCAACAGTATCACCATCTTTGTCAGAATGCTTATTCCAATTATACGCCAAAGTATTGAAGCATCAATATCATCAGAAATCAACTTCAAATCACCTGAAACCATGTTTCACCCCCAGTAACAAGGAGGAATGAAATGTCATCCTCAATAAATTGCTTTATCAAAGCTTTATGATCATATGAGAACTTCTCAGAGACCTAGGATTAGCATATCTTATGGTAGTCCAGTTGCTTACAAATGATACCATGCATATTGCTCATGAGATACTGAAATATTGTTAAATCAAACTGCAAAGTTCTGCCAGTGATGCACACTTTAGATGTATAAATCTTGCACCCTGTTCTTCAACATTCAACCACTTTTGTATTTATGCAGCCACCATGTTAGACATAAAATGGAACCTGAGCCATCTACTGGAGTGTTTGCAATCGTCTATTTTCCCCAAGCCTGAAATTTATATAACAGGAGGACCAGTACACTTCCAAGAGCTGTTGTTACATTTTTTTAATGTCTTCATACCAGCATTATGGGTAGTGGTCTGGTGCTTGCTAGGTCCTCAAACTGACTATCATTATGGATTGATTCCACAGTAAAACAAGCAGTAGCTTAACTCTTTGAGTGGCAGGAAAAGGCAATTAACTTTTTCAGCAAAACTTGTTTTATTTACTACATCAGGTGTTACATTGAAATTTGTGACAATCACGCATATTTTGTCCAAGACGCGTGAAAAAAATGACCACTTTTGGTGGTTAGTGTCAGTGACCACCTCCCACAGAACACATCCCTACAAATCAGTCTCTATGGTACTCATGGAAACAGTTTTTCTTTTTCAAGCAGAGAGCAACTTTGCATGTGCTGCATCCCCACACTGTTCTTACAGCCTTTTTCTTGGTGCTGCAGAGTGCACATCGTCGTGATGTAGTCTTCAATGGCTGATGTTTATTTTCTTGAAGACTAATTGCTGCATCAACTACTGGCTTATGTTTCTTGATTGCTATCTAGTGAGCTACAAGGGAACTTCGGAAACAGTCAAACCACTCACATGAGCAAGATGTTCAATAGAAAAGGTGGTTCCGCCCTTCAAAGAGTTAACACATTGAGCGCCACGCATATTTCTTAAGCAATCCCGTTCAGGCCACATGCATTGCTTAACCCGGGAAAAGCCTTTGAAGTATGGAAATATTGTAAATTATGTTATGATAAAAATACAATGGTACAGTAATGGCCAGAAAAAAGATTAAGAGAGTTGTCACATTTTGTAATAGCTGTAAAGGAAAGCCGTTTTTATGTTTATCGTGTTTCATTGAAATCCATTAATCCTGTAATGAAACAAAATTATGTAAATTTTAAATAAATTTTCTGTAATTCCATAAAACAGTGTAAATTTTACAGTTATATATCATGTTACACGCTGTCAGCCAGCTGCAGTCGACGTGGCCTAAACGGTTGGCACTCATCATGTTACACGCTGTCAGCCAGCGGCAGTTGACGCGGCCTAAACGGAAAGTTTAGTCTCAACTAGATGGCTGACGTGGGCACAACGTGTTAATAGAAATGAAGAAAAATTTCAGAAATTTTTTTTAACAATTGTTTTTTTCTTTATACACTGTATTTATAACATAGCCCCTGTTTTCACAGGCATTATTCACAGACATATAT